TTAACTTATAAAGGCAAATGGTGTCTTTTAAAATTTCTTGGGTATTTTTTAAACACAGTACTAATGGTAAGGGTATTTTTGAACTTTTTAAAAAAGTTGAAGGGTATTGAGAAAACTTTTTAAAGTTCAAAAGTATTTTTGAAACAAAGTACTAACGGTTTCCATCTAAAACTAATGGTAAGGATATTTTTTTAGACCTTTTTGAAAGTTTAAGGTATTATTGAAACTTTTGAAAATTTGAGTATTTTTTAGACAAATTAAAAAGTTTAGGAGTATTTTTATTAGTTTAGCCTTCTTCGATGTTTTGGACCTAAGGGTTTCTTCAATAAGGTTGTTAGATTAAATTACCATGAGTTATAGTTTAAGAATTATAGTCATTTGGGATGAAATCATCTAGGAGTTTGCATATCCATCAGAATTCTTAGATCCAATTGGCTAGAGTTTTTATATGAGTAATCTTTCTTGATTACTCAAAAGGCAGGATGTTGACACTGGTATTACCTTGTGTCCATCTCTATTACCTTTTTCTTCTCCAATTCCCTAAGAAAGTCACTAAGGACCTTGAAAAATGCATACAAAACTTCACATGGAAAGGGCCTCCAAAGAAGGGAGGAAATAATCTAGTTAAATGGAGTATAGCTTCTTTGCCGGCATTGGACTCACTACTAATCTAGTGTATAAAGAAATATTCGCCGATGACGATGCTAGAAACATTGCTAAAGACTTATTTGACCCCCCCTAAAACGACATTATAAAACCTTTATGTTTATCTCTTATGCACAAAAGTTGGAGGCTATTTTTTCTTTTTTCTCTCTTTAAAATAAATGAATAAAAAGCCCTACGTTCACATGGCAAATGAAAGAATATACACAAGCAGGCTACAAAATACAGTCAATCACAAAAGAAGCCAGAAAAAAAGAAAAAAAAAAACACTATCACAAAAGACGCTCCAATGTTGATAAATGATGATAATAGACAAAGGATCAGTACACAAAGCCTTTGAACCTAGTCATAGTCCACACCTACACCTATACATCTTCAACCCCTAAAAGTCCTATTTCTCTTGAACCAAGTGTTCTACAAAATAGAAGGTTCTCCACAGGGCTCCTCCCATGCCCCTCTGAATGAAGGATGGAATAGCATCTCTTCTGACATCAATCAACAAGCACAACTACAAACCAAAAGAAGACCAAAAGTCTCCAAAAAAAAATGTGTCCCATATCAAGGTGGCATAAACACGAACTCCACAGCACACTGTCTAAACTCTTAAAAACACTTACACAAAACACACCACTACGGACCCAACAACATGGAAAAAGCTATTTGAATAGATTCAATAGTGCTAATCCACCAATGCAAGGCCTACTAGACAAAGAATCTAACCATCCTTAGGACTCTTAACATTCCACAAGGAAGAAAACAAAGAGGGATTTGGAGGGGGAAACCACATAAATGGAAAAGAACGAAAAGAAAACCCAACCAAAGGATTGGAGCTTTAAGAACAAACATCCCTACGAGATCCAAGATGAAAATGTATCCCTAATAATAAATCGGAGGGTAACCAAGGAGAAACTAAATACAAGGTTAATAGTTCTCCAGACCATACTCATCAAACTTATGGTGCTGGAGTTGACAAGGATTGAGATGATATGAGCAAAAATCTGTAAGATATGACTACTTTCCTTTTGAAAGGCTTGTTTTTGTTAGATATTTTATTTCATTTTATTTTATTTTTAAGGGAGAATAGTACATCAGCATATAAGCTTAGTTTTTTTCTTCCAATTTTAAAGTTTTTATTTAAATGACTATTTTAGAAAACAAGGATTCTCATTGTGTATGGGATCAAAAATTTAGAAGGAATCTTACTGATGTGGAGATTGAAGAGTGGGCAACTCTCTTGAACCATTTACTTGCTTTTAGACCGAATAACAGGGAAGATTTGAAAGTGCAGATGCTGGAAAAGGAAGGTTAAATCTCCTTTTTTTTCTTTTTCACAAGTTTATTTTGCATCAAGAGGCTTTGGACAAACAAAAATCTGATATTACGTGGCAAGCCTAGTGTCCTAAGAAGGCCAAGATTTTCTGGTGGATTTTCTTTTTTGAGAGGCTGAATACTTGCTGAAAAATCCAAAGAGTACATTTCCCTTCCCCCAGCTAATGCTATCTTTATAAAAGAAGTGAGGAAACTTTGATGCATCTCTTCTTTCATGCCCGTTTACTGCTGATTGCTGGGAAATGTTGTTTAAATTGGTCAATATGCAGTGGTGTTGGCCCAACAAAGCATCGGATGCCCTCCTTCGACTTATTGATAGCCCTCAGTTTAAGGCTCAGACTAAAATCCTATAGTTCAATGGTGTATTTGCTCTCCCTTGGAGACTGTGGTCCGAACAAAATTCCAGATTTTTCATGGTTAAGAAACTAACAAGGGCGTTTTTTGGGATTTGGTTACTCTTTTTGCTTCTACCTGGTCTTCTACTTCAAAAGGATTTTTTTTTTTCATTATAGCCTAACTCATATTTACACCAGCTGGGTTTCTTTTTTGTAACCCGTTGGTTTGTGGAGATATCTCATATCCCTCTCCTTTTGTATTCTCGCTTTTTACAATGAAAATTATGTTTCTTGTTTAAAAAGAAAAAAGAAAAAAAGAAAAGGGGAGAAGAAAACAAGGATCCTAAGGATGGAAGCGTTAGTTTTTCAGCTCTCGAAAGCTTTAATATTTTCTTGTTTTTTTTTTCCCTTCTTTCTTGCAATTACTCCCCCTCAGCTATTGTTTTCTTAACTCTTTCGTTGCTTTTACCCCTTTCAATTTCACAGTATCGATGAAATTTGGTTTATTATCAATGTGTCATGTCTACATTCATGAATAATATTTAAACCAATATACTTTCAAGTTTTACCAGTTCTCAAGAGTTGAGGACTTCAAATATGGCTACGAAATTTCAATTTCAATTTCAATTTCAAAGCCTAAGTAATAGCGCCATTCAGAATTTTAAAATAAGGATACACTGTGCTACAAATGCTAAAATAACATTCAATCCAGCAATTACATACGCAGAAAAGATGCAACTAGCTTTGACCTGCTCATGTTTCAACTGGGTACAAGCCCCTGACTGAAGAATATCCAAGGCTTCTGAGTACCTTTCTGCAGCCACGTATCTGAAATGAGACAAACACATGTTCAATAACATGCCTCTCGATTCACCATTTTTTGCATAATCATTTGGGTGAAGACAGTGGTTTTAACAATAATTGAAAAAGTATAAGTCTGTTACTATTTGTGATTGATAGAAATTGCCAGTTATAAACAGTTTAACTAGGAGTGCAGCAGAGACATTGGGAGTACTGGTTATCAACTAATCACCATTAATTATCTACTAGTAAGAATCACTTTCTAAGTGCCCATTTTGCATAATAATTTGGAAGGATTTATTTTTTTAAGATCAAAACCAAATGAAGAAGGTATTACTGTACCTTGCACTGACAGATTTGTACATCTGTTGAGCACCGTAGTAGTCACCACTGTCGACAACGTCTTCTATTTTCATAATATGCTGTAATCACAGTTTCAAAGAAGTTAATGCAGTCTAAACATTCCTCGACTCAGTTAAAAAACAATGCATTAGCCTAAAGAAACTAATCGATTCTCAACGAGGGAGAGGTTAAAACCAGCTATAAAGCAAGAAAAACACACAAACACAATGAACATACTGACTGGAGGACAAGGCTTCTGCTGAATGAACTAAAAGGGTGATTTAAATAAATGATGCCACGAGTATATTACAAAGTTAAAATTAAAATAATCCATGAAACTCAAATTCTTTTGATCCAAACACGACATCCTCAATGATTAGTGTATCGCTTATCTTCGCTTTCGGTCAGAAATTGATAGTAATCGCAAAAACAAAACGTCATGCAATTTCTTCATTTCAAACAAATCATGAGAAACGGTAACAAAATGAATCGCGATAACAAAAATAGAGTCATAAAATTTTTATACCACTACAATTTCCCACTCAAGGCTCAAAATAGTTCTTGAACAACGTAAACAATGAAGAAGAGGGAGGGAAAAGATCTGTAACAACAAGTTTGGAGCATTCATTACCTCTTGAACCGGAGGCAACACAATTCGCCTGGATCTCGCGCGGGACATGGTCTTCTGCAACGGGTGGGAGCTCATTTTGATTCGAATAACGATGGCAGAAGAATGAATTCGTTTAGTTGATGATCCTTGAAGAAAGAAGAACAAAACCAGGGACTTTTTGTTTTCGGGTTCGATTGAGAAGTGTAAAAGAAGAAATGGAGGTACGTGATTATAATAAGCCTTTTTTTTTTACCAAAATAACCTTTTATATTTCTCTGTCAAAAAATGGTATTTTTCAAAACACGATTTTACTAAAATCGTTTTATCTGCCACCACAATAACAAAACTTATTTGGAAACTTTTTAGGGTTTTTTTCTTAAATATCTTTTATATATATATATATATAAATTATATTTAAACATTATAAATATATTCGAACCTGAACGCTCACAGAAGGCGACATTGAATTCAGAAGTCAGAAATAGAAATACCGTTAATTGAGAATGTTGAACACCCCACTACAACAAATAATAGATACGATAGCTATTGAAAAATGCTATTATAGACTTTTTATAGTGTTTTTCGTACGTCGTGACAGACTTTTTATAGTGTTTTTCGTACGTCGTGACAGCCCATGTTATTCGTATGTCGTGACAGTCCATATTATTAAAAGTCTAAGACTTTTTATAGCTAGCATTTTTTTATAACTATAATGGATACTATAATAAATTATGAAGCTATACCTTATATAAGTTGTTATGAAAACCTTTTATAGCACTTTTTTTTTAGAGCTATAATAGGTTTAAGATAACAAAAATATTATGCTGTCTTTTAATTTATAATAACATTTTTTTTAATATTATAATATAATATTTAAAACTTTAATCGTATGTTATAATAATACTATTTAATCTTTAGGCTCAACAATATTTTCTTTAATATAATCTAACTCAAGAGATATTATAATGTATTTACAGTGTATTCAATTAGATGTACATAAGTTTTAAGAAACGGAAACACATTACTAAAATCTACAAAAGAATAGAGACAATAACAGTGTCCAAGCTCTGTTCATCCAACTCTTTTAACACGTTGAGCAGCCGATTCCTTAACACGTTGTTCATCCAACTCTTTTAACACGTTGAGCAGCCGATTCCTTACTAGTGCATTATCTTCTTAGGAGCAAGCTACCTTTCTTAAGTGTGTTATTTGAGTAGGCATAATATCCCAACTTTGCCATCAAAAATATTGTTTCCAGCAGCACGTTCACTCTCTTTTATCGCTTTGTTCCTCCTGCATCCTCTGTACACAATCAATAATGAAGATATCAACATTGCTTTCATGTACCTCTTGGACTTAACACCTACATTTTCTTAATCAAGAGGAGTAAGACAGATAAATAGTTAAAAACTATAACAAAAAAATGAAAATTGAAAATTGAATTTTCTGGCAATGTCCAAACCAATATGGAGTATTAGTTAGATTTTTCCAATGAAATAACATCTTGAATTGTAGCATCTCATACAATCACCTTTAGATGTCAATCCTTCCCTCTTGATTGTATTAAGAGGATATTTTGCCGTGATAATTAGTTAGAATATATCTTAGATATTTAGGAAGTTGTTAGTATAGATTTGATTAACAGTATATTTTATTTATTTACCGGATTTAATTAGATATATATTTTTCTATTTTTAGGTATTAGTTGATAGTTTGTATCCTATTTAAACGTGGTAAACCTGAATGAAGATCATACTTTCGATCCCAATTCTATTTCTATTTCTCATTCTTAACATGGTATCAGAGCACCGATCTTGGTGTTCTTAAATATCAAAATTTCCTTTATGGCGGAATCAGCCAAATCTAGCTTCAAAATTTCGGATGTTGATTTAACACATCCGTACTATATTCATCACTCTGATCAGC